AAGCTGGAGAGCCAAGAAGCTGCTCCATCAGCTTTAGAATCACACTGCTTTTGAGAAACTCCACACTAAAGGGCTGATTTCCTGTGACCACTGGGCCTTCTGCTACTACTACCCTCACCTTGCCATATCCTCATCAACTACTGGGTATGGCCTCCACCTCCTGCAGTGCAAGGAGTCTGAGTATTGTGGTTTCTTGGGTTACAGCCTGCAACAGGCAGTAAGCTGAGTATGAAGTCCAGTAAGGTAATCTGCATATTCCTGCCATATCTAACTTACTTGCTTTATTCATAAACCAAATATGGGCAATTTTTGTTCATTGCAACTGGAGTACATCCTAACACACCCATGACAGTCTCTGGGTATACTGTAATGGAGCCATTATGTTACTTAGAATGAAATGTCCATCTTAGAGACCAACACGAAGAAATAAGCACAAGTTATGAATAAGGTTGGGATGTTATGATGTTGCAATGTCTCTTCTGCCCTCTTTAACTTTTTTTGTGCCAATTATATGTTGATAAGGTATGGGCATAAGGTATGGGAAATTCCTATACAAAATGAACTAGCTATAGAATAGCTAACACAGAGACTGGGTTATTTTTGTCATAATCACAATTCTGGATTATAGCTTTTTAAAAAAATTATTTATTCGAATTTGTTATACATGACAGCAGAATGCATTTCAATTCATAGTACACCTATAGAGAACAATTTTTCGTGTCTCTGGTTGTACACAAAGTAGAGTCACATCATTTTTGTCTTCATACACATTCTTAGGTAACGATGTTCATCTCATTCCACCATCTTTCCTACCCCCTCTCTTCCCTCCTTCCACTTTGCCCTATCTAAAGTTCCTCCATTCCTCCCATGCCTGCACCCCATTATGGATCAGCATCCACATATCAAAGAAAACATTTGGCCTTTGGTTTTCTAGGCTTGGCTTACTTCACTTAGCATAATATTCTCCAACTCCATCTATTTACCTGCAAGTGCCATGATTTTATTCTCTTTTAATGCTGAGTAATATTCCATTTTGTGTGTGTGTGTGTGTGTGTGTGTGTGTGTGTAGTTTCTTTATCCATTCATCTACTAAAGGGCATCTCACAGTTTCTTTATCCATTCATCTACTAAAGGGCATCTAGGTTAGTTCCACAAATTTAGTTATTGTCAATTGTGTTGCTATAAACATTGAAATGGCTACGTCATTATAGTATACTGTTTTTAAGTTCTTTGGGTATAAACCCAGGAGTGGGATAGCTGGGTCAAATGGTGGTTCCATTCCAAGTTTTCCAAGAAATCTCCATACTGCTTTCTAGATTGGTTGCACAAATTTGCAATCCCACCAGCAATGTATGAGTGTTCCTTTTCCCTCACATCCTCGCCAACACATATTGTTGCCTGTATTCTTAATAGCTACTATTCTGACTGCAGTGAGATAAAATCTTAGAGTAGTTTTGATTTGCATTTCTCTAATGGCTAGAGATATTGAACATTTTTTCATATATTTGTTGATTGATTGTATATTTTCTTCTGAGAAGTGTCTGCTCATTTCCTTGGCCCATTTATTGATTGGGTTATTTGTTTTTTTGGTGTTAAGGTTTTTGAGTTCTTTATATATCCTAGGGATCAGTGCAGAGCAATTAGATGAAAAAAATTGAAGGGATACAGAGAGAAAAAGAAGAACTCAAACTATCACTATTTGCCAATGACATGATTCTATACCTAGAGGATTAAAAAAATCCCACCAGAAAACTTCTAGAACTAATAAATAAATTCAGCAAAGTAGTAGGATATAAAATTAACACTCATAAATCAAAGGCATTTCTGTACCTCAGTGACAAATCCTCTGAAAGAGAAACTAGGAAAACTACCCCATTTATAATAGCCTCAAAAAAGTAAAATATATGGGAATCAACTTAACAAAAGAGGTGAAAGACCTCTAAAATGAAAACTACAGAACACTAAAGAAAGAAGTTAAAGAAGATCTTAGAAGATGGAAAGATCTCCCTTGTCCTTGGATAGGCAGAATTAATATTGTCAAAATGGCCACACTATCAAAAGCAGCAGATTTAATGTAATTCCAATCAAAATACCAATGACATTCCTCATAGAAATAGAAAAAGCAATTATGAAATTCATCTTGAAAAATGAGACCCAGAAGAGCCAAAGCAATTCTTAGCAAGAAGAGTGCAGCAGTTGGCATCAATATACCAGACCTTAAACTATACTACAGAGCAATAGTAACAAAAACAGCATAGTTTTGGCACCAAAATAGACTTGTAGAACAATGGTACAGAATAGAGGACACAGAGACAAACAGAGACAAAATCATAAATACAGTTACCTCATACTTGACAAAGGTGCCAAAAACATATATTGGAGAAAAAAATAGCCTCTTTAACAAATGGTGCTGGAAAACTTGAAATCTATATGCAGCAAAATGAAATTAAGCCCCTATCTCTCACCATGCACAAAACTCAACTCAAAGTAAATCAAGGACCTAGGAATTAGACTAGAAACCCTGCACCTAATAGAAAAAAAAAAACCATAGGTCCAAATCTTCTTCATGTTGGATTAGGCCCCGACTTCCTTAACAAGACTCCTATAGTGCAAGAAATAAAATCAAGAATCAATAAATGAGGTGAATTCAAACTGAAAAGCTTCTCTCAGCAAAAGAAACAGTGAGTTGATGAGAGAGCCTACGGATGGGAGCAAATTTTTACCACACACACATCAGATGGAATACTAACCTCTTGGATTTTAGCTTTAGTAAAGAGCTGGTCTTTACCATGTCACACAATGCCAGGCACCCTTGCCTTCCTGCCCACTTTCATCTTCAGTTCAGACCTTTTGTGCCATTGAAGGTTCACCCCCTTGCTTGGTTCTGGCGCAGATTGCAGGAGCCCTGGGTTAAGGTCTAGGTAACTCCATCCATGTGCTCTTAGACCTTCCTGGGGTTATGAAGAGAGTATACAATATGGACCATTTGTTTTGCTACTTATTAGCGAGGGACTTTAGGCTAAATATAAAATCTTTCTAAACCTCAGATATTTCTTTAAAATGGAATAATAATGACTGACATATAAATTTGTGAGAATTAGGTGGAGAAAATGAATATAAACAACAGTACCTGGCAGGACAGATCATACATATTGAATGTGAGCTTCTTTAGGGATGAGTTTCCATATCTCTGGGCTCAACCATGTTTCTGAAGCCTCCCTTTTGGTAAGTAAATTGTTATCTGATTGCCCTTGGTTTGAATGTGTGCCTCAGTACTCCACCATGGTCTTGTTCTCACCAGGATCCGTATCTCCTTTCCCTCTCTTCTCCTTCTATCCCTGGTCTTCTCTTTTGCATTCAGTTCTATGGTTAGGTAACCACGGACGCAGAGGCAGAGTTCCCAGCTGCCTGCTGGCACAGCAATATGATTTTTGAGATTCCCTATTGCATCCACTACCCTTTCAGTGACCACGGTGTCCTAATTTCTACTGCTTTCCAAGGCCACCACCTGATATTTGTCACATTATTCTCCAGATGCCGAGTTCTGCTGCTTTACCCTTGTCACTTGCGTTTGGATCCTAACTTTTCCTTCCTGTTATCTGCAGCCCCCGTCTTCTCCCACTGTAGTGACTGTATCAAGTCTCAGGCCCTGAATCCTAACCCTCTCATACCAGGTAGTGTTTTCAGATAAGAAACAAAACCCTCTAGGTCCTTGCTACTTAAAGTATGATGTGCTGGCACCCCTGGGAGTTTATTAGACATGAAGACTCTACTGAATCAGAATCTGCATTTTAATAAGATTCCAAGGTGATTAACAGGCACATGAAATTTTGAGAAACACTTCACAGCAAGCAAGGAGATTTGGCAAGGTCAGAAAGTAGTTTGGTGGTATTTGGCAAAATTTCTTGACCTTTCTCTTGTGATGTTATGGAGACAAATGGCTGCTTTCTAATATGGATCGCTGGTACTTCCATCCGGAGGCTTGCAACATGGGTATTCTGTGTCTTTTCATCTGGGGGATGGGTTTTGTGCTCTAAGGATTAAATCCACGTTTGTGTCAAGATGAAATTGAATGAAAATTCTGACAGGCTAGGTATTTGAGGAAATATACTCTATGACTCTTCTACCTGGTGGCATTTTTTAAAATCAAATGATAGTCATTGCACATTCATCACAGTTTAGAAAGATCCTGCCTCACATCAAATGAAGGAATTCTGTATTTATGAATTGCACAACAGAGGAAAAGCTCCTGAAGTTCATTTTTAAAAAATCTATAGTGTTTCCCTTTTCCTACTACAGCCTTCCCAAACCCTCCTTCCTCCAGTTCCTCTGGAACTAGCACCTGAGTACAGAGACTAGCATGGTGGTGATGGGGAATGTCATGGGGAGAAGCTTTGAGAAATGACAGAAATTTTGGGGAACATGACTGAGTTTGTGACCCTTTCTCCTAATATTTTAAAATAATTTTTTTTGTAGTTGTAAATGGATAGAATGCCTTTGTTTATTTTTATGTGGTCCTGAAGATCGAACCCAGGGCCTCCCACATGCTAGGCAAGCGCTCTGCCACTGAGCTACAGCCCAAACCCCTAATATTTTTACTCAGATCATATCTTTGTAATATAAGGGTACTGTGATTCTTATTTTGTTTTATTTATTTAAATACACTCAAACCATGCTCTTCTGTTCTTAAAAGCTATGAGTGCTTTAAGAATGAATGATTGTGAAAATCTTAATCCCCCTTCATACAAATCAATCAATCAACATGCACACAAAGAAATAGGTTTAGAGCATCTGTTATGAAAGGCAGACCCAGAGCTGAGTGAGGCTGAAAGGCCAAGGTGGCCCCTGTAGCCTACCTGCCCACACCACTGCACTTTCATTCATCTTGCCATTAAATGACTGAGGAAAAACCCGAAAGGTACAGGCTGCCTCTCTTTCCAGCTTCAAACACACAGATGTTCCTCCTATTTCTGATGGAGCATCTAATGAAGATGACTTCTACTCTGTGTGCAGATATCAGTTTGACCTGATGCCATCCCAGCAGCACACCTGGGACTGCTGTCATCTCGTGAAAGTGATGAGCTCCCTGATATGCACAAGGTAATCTGCTGTTTTTCTTCAGATATGACAGGGCTTGGGAGTTGGGGTAGAAAAAAGGGCTTAAAGGCATTAAAAATAAATAAGAGGAATGGAAAGAGTTCTCTCTTGCAAAAATGAAAAGGGATAGAGGTCAATGACTAGGAAGATTGAAAGTGCCCCCAAGCCACTTAATAAATCAAGAGGTGGTAGAATTTACAGTTAGGTAGAAAGGTAGGTAATTTCTTGCTCCTTGGACAGTAGTGGTGGTTAAAATACAAAAAGTTAAAATTCAGAGTGAGGCAGGATCTTTCTAAACTGCGATGAATGTGCAATGACTATCATTTGATTTTAAAAAATGTCACCAGGAAATGTGACCACACCCTAAAAAAATGCAATGTGCAAATTTCAAAAGTAAACAGTGCACTTTGGAAAAGACTACCCTTGTTTACATGATATAAGACGTCCACATGTATCATTTCTTCTTCTCTGCAGAAACTGAGGGAAGGGGCGAATACTTCCCTATTGCAACGAATAGGGAAATAACTATATTCTATAGTTAATTGAATATAATGGGTGGACCTATCTAAGGACTAGTATGCAGCAGCCAACTTTAGCTGACTAAGGGAACAACAATTGAACAAATTCACAGATCAAAGTATAGTTTATGGAAGAATAGGTAATTATCACTATTAGCTAAAGACAGTTTCCTATGAAAGGCATCAAATCCAGTCTAGACAGCAAAAATTCTCAAAGTGTGGTCCCTGGACTATTAGCATCAGCCTCTCCTGGGAACTTGTTATAAATGCAAAATTTTCTGCTCCCTCTCCCCTGACTTGCTAAATTAGAAACTGAGACCAGTGCTTCATTAATAATTTAATAATAATCTCTTCCAGTAATTAGGATGTCTACTAGTTTGAGGACCACAGCTACCAGAGTTGTCTGAGGAGGGAACATTATACAATGGGAAGCACCTAGCCTCTGGAGGCAGGCCCGAGTTCCTTCCCAGCTTTGCCATCATTAGTTGTGTGATGATGGCAAGTGCATGGCTTCCCTGAACTTTAATTTCTCGTTCTGCCTAGATCTGTTGTGGGTCAAGTGAGAAGATCTGTAGATCTGTTGTGGGTCAAGTTCAGATACTCATGGACCTTACTCCATGAAAACCAGATGTCTTATTTTAGGTGGGCTGACTGTAGCTCCTTCTTGGGCTGTCCTTTACTAGAGTCACTGGCCACATCTGAATTGAGATGAACCCAAGTATAAAATACACATTGGATTTTTAAGACAATATAAACATGGCCATTACAATTTGAAATAAAATTTTGGATATAGTGGGTTAAATATATTACTGAAATTAATTTCACCTTCATGTAACTTTAAAAAAATGTTACAGGAAACGTTAAGGCACATATGTGGCTCACAGACATTCCTGTTGGACAGCCCTGGTCTAAGCATCCTTGGGGTCACTGCATTTTTCTAAAAGCCTACTGATAAAAATTTCTAGTTTCTTGGCTACAATTTTTATACTCTCTGTGGAGTTCCTCATTATCATCTTTGTAGTTGCAAAGGATTCCACAATCTTTTCATCAGTTCTTCACAACACAGTCTGTGAGGCAGGTCACTGCTGAATTATGAGGCTCATTAAAGTGATTGTCATCATTCAAAGGCCAGTGGATGCCTCCATATACATATGCACCTTCAAAAGCAGGGAATTTAGATCACAAGGGGGATAAAAATATCTCTGAAAAGGAACTACAAAGCAGAGGCTGGGTAGGGAGCAAATGCAAACATGGCAGTAACCTTGAGTACCTAGGGCTTGCTAATAGTGTCCACTCCTAAGTAAAGTTCACCAAGTGACAAACTTCCAGTACATCGTGCATCACTCTCTCTCCCTCCCAATGGTGTTTTCTTACAGTCAGAATCTAGAGACTTGATTAACCCCTCAGACATTTAGAAAAGTCAGTTTTCAGGAGATAAGAGTTCTTTAAGCACCACCACCCCATTCTATCTTTTCTTGCTTAACAAAAGACAAGTGAAAGGCTACTCCCTCAGATGTCTATTTGTCCTAGACTTGTCTTAAAAATTGGCTCTTGGAATCATCTGTCAATCAAATGTATTACTGAGAGAAACATTTATGGAATTACCTGAGATGAGATGTTTCAGATGACAATTTCTTATTTGCACTTCTTTTAAATTATTCAAGACAACACAAACCTGCTCTGATCTTTAAAAAGATTTTAGCACTATGGGAACTTGCACTCTGTGTTTTAAATACTTAGTCTTATTTTAAAAAAAAACAACTCTTATGGGAGACTCAGAGAGCATTCTAATAACAGAAAGAAGCCCCTCAACATGAGGGTGTGGGACTGATCACATGCTCTAGTCTCATAGCTTGCTTGGGTGATGCTGCCCTGTGAAAAAGCAACCAGCTACATGAGCTGGGGACCAGATGGTAAAGACAGATGACTCCATGCCTGGAAAAGTGCATGAGAAATATCTTACCACTCTTTTATTTCAGTTTTTTTGGGGGTGTAGAAAGATCCCAGTTAGTTAAGTTCAAATAAATATAGGGCACCTGCTTGATGCCAGGCACTAGGCCAAGCACAGTGGGTACAGGACTGAAAGAGACACAGCCCAATTCCAGCTTGGACTAAAATAGAAATAAATGTCAGTCCTTTCTACACGGCCATGATTATGACTTTATTGATTTTCACGTATAGGGCTCACTGCTTTCTTCTTTCCTATTTGCAGTGCACCATTCTAAATACCAGGCCCTGGGGACAACAATGCCACATTTTGGGAGTATAAAAGGCATATTTAAATTACATTTTAGCTGCAGAGATATGTTACATACAGTAGAGAACAAAAAGTCATTAGAATCTGGACTTGGCATTCGAACCAAGGACGACATACATAAAATATAAACACAAATTGTCAACTACTAGTGAGATGAGTGAGACCTGCTTAAATAATCTGAACATATTTCAGACTATTTAAGAAGTTTGTCCCCTACCCTGAGACAAAAGATTCTCTTTTTTTTTCTGAAAGAGATTTTTGAATACTCATTAAATTCACTGCAAGTTTTATATTTTATATATGCCAGACTGTAGCTGTTGATATTGGTGTGAACATCAACATCAGGCCATGAGAGTAAGGCTATCAGAGGTTCAGAGTAAGGTGTGAGTTAGTTAAAGGTTAGGCACAAACTTCATGAATACTTGTAACCTCACCTTAGCCCTGAGTTCATTTCTCCACATGTGTTTTGGAGTCCAGAATTTTTTTCTTTTTTGGTTCTTGTTGTTTCTTTTCTTTCTATCTTCTAAAATAGCACTATTCACCTAGTTGTCTACTTCTTTAAGCAGCGATCTCCATCCCCACCCCAACCCTTGGCCACACAGCAAGACTTATCTGTCTTTAGTTACCAACTGTCTTATCAAGGCTAACACGACACTAATCACAGGGGCTGCTGTCATAATCTTTCTCTCTCTTTTGTATTTTGTAATGTCTGACTCTCAAAGAATCTTCCTATTTCCCACCTGGGCTGTCCCCCCTTTCTCTCGTTACTTCTAAGAAGGAGGCAGCTCCCTGTGTGGACTGCTTGAATGGTCCCAGTTCGACACCCTTCCCTGTGCCTATATCCTCTGCTATGTCATTTTGTGGGCCCTTGCCCCCCTGAGGGAGGAGTGCAGGGACATATGACTTAGTTCGACCAATGGGATGTCTGTAGATGCGACACAACAGAGACTTTACCAGTCTGTGTGCTATTGTGCTTAATTATCCTGTGCTGTCTGTCTCCAGGAGGGCACTCTAACCCATGAGTTCCAGGAAGAAGATGAGACACACGTGGGCAGAACCACCCCCAGAGAAGTCTAGCCCAGATGCTTCAAACCCCAGGTGAAGACTTGTGAGGAACCACAAGTGGTTGTCTTCCTAAGCCACTCGTGTCAGGATGGTTCATACCCAGCAGTAGCCAGCTGATGCTCTCTTCCCCAAATCACCACAGATTCCAGGTTCTCCCCTCCTCGGCTTCTTAGATTTCTTTCTCATCTAACTTCATTCGGCCCTAGCCCCTGGTGGCAAAAAGTGAGACCTTCTGTAGCTCTAGGGAATTGAAAATGAGGGGAGGAAGTCAGGGCAAAGGAGGGAAGACCATGCTGATGCCAACTAGGCCATCTCTCTAGAGATCACCGATGTCACAGTGCTCATCCTGTTCCTGAATCCACCCTCTCCTGTCCTTTCTCTCCCCAGCTCTTACTTCTTACCCTTAATTCTTTATGTTCCAACTATCTCTCTGCACAGTAAGGCTGGGGTTCTATTATAACTATTGCTAATATTTATTGAATGCTAAGCACGGAGTTAAGTGTTTTACTTGGTAAAACATTATCTTTTCACCCTTACTCTGATGCCTATTTGTCCTAGACTTGGTAATATGATCTACATCTTGCACATGAAGAAGCTTGAGACATCAAGCAATTTGCCCAAGATCTGCTGCAAGGAAGTGCCCAAGCCAAGGTTCTAATCCAGGAAATCTGATGTCGAAGCCCGTGCTTTCTAACCCAGGCCACGCTGCCCCTTCTTGTTAATTCCTCTTCATCCTATTTTCCACTGTCATTCTTCTCCCCTTCCACAGGCAGGGGAAGAAAAAAATATATTTTTATTTGACTATATTTTTGTAAAATGTGGACAGTTTGATATAAGTTACTTTCAATTTATCTGAATTATATTTTATTTCCTATCTTATTCTGTTAATTTTTTCACTAAGTATTTTTAAGAACATTCTATGTTACTATGTGTTCATCTAATGTGTTGTCCCTTCACTGTTACATCGTTTCCACTCACCCCAAATTTCCTGTGCCCTCTTCAGTAATGAACAACCTGTACACTCCAACTTCTGACCACAAGTTACGCCTGCATGAAAATCCTCAGACGTGGTTCCTTATGGCCCTGGTGAGAAATTGCTGAACACAAGGAGCAGAATCACTGGGCCATAGGGAATGTTTTATCCACTGGACTAAATTGCTTTCCACCATGGTTTACACTATTCCAGCAGGACTCGAAGGCACAGCTCTACCTATTGTCCTGTCTCAATTCTGCCAGCCCAATAAGTGCAAATTGATGACTTTTGAAATTTGCATTTCTCTAATTATGAATGATTTGGGATGTTTCTCCATTTGCTGGTTTCTGTTTTCGAGTTTCCTCTTTTATAAATTACCCCTTCATAACCTGCTCATTTTAAAAAATTATTTATCTATTCTAATTTGTTATATATGATGGCAGAATGCAATTCATTTCATATTACACATATAGAGTACAATTTTTCAAGTCACTGGTTGTACATAAAGTATTTTCACACCACTCGTGTCTTTATACAGATACTTAGGGTAATGATGTCTAACTCATTCCATCATTTTTCCTACCCCCATGCCCCCTCCCTTTCTCTCCCTCCACTTTGCCCTAACCCTCTGTACTTTCTGCTCAAACTTGCTGTACACCTAAAACAAATCTAAAAAAAAAACCTAATAAATAAAAAAAAAGATTCCAGAATTGTTCCTTAGACCTACCGAAGCCAGAATAGACCTACTGAAGCCAGAATTTGCATTTTAAAGTAGGTAGTCTAGTAAATGTTATGCTTATAAAAGTTTGATAATTACTACTTGAAATCTATAATAATAATAATAATAATAATAATAGTAATAATAATAATAATTTGCTGTAGTTGTTACCAGTGCATATAAATTGCTGGTGAGGGGAGGAATCATTTTACATTGTATCCCAAGTGACAGCCAGAGAGATATAGGTTTCAAATGGGGAAGAGCCCCCAGGATTTATTTTAACTTCTAATAAAAATTTTATTACTTATATTTGTTTTATGTGGCTTTTATTTGCTATGTTTATGGTGAGGAAAATAAAGATGTGTTCTGACCAAAATCACAGAGACCTACTAGCCTAGTAAGCACTAAATTTTTATCACCCTGTGGATGAACTAAAGTGATCGTATTCTCCTACATACACGGGATTCTTGTCTTTATTGCTTCTTCTGCCTGGACAGAATCTCTTCCATCTATTACATAAGAAGGACACCTCTCATGATATTTTTAAGGCTTGAATTTGTTCCTCATCTGTCTAGCAATACAGTGAAGAAATTCTCAGCCATGTAAAAAATGGGTAACTCCTGGCTAAAGAACCACATCTCCATCAGGGGAACAAGCCCCTCTTTGGTGACTGTCATTGAACTTGTAGAAATAGGTGTATAGTTTGAACTCTGTGGATGGAAAATACTATAGAGGAATAAATATTGTAAAGAAATACCTTTTAATCCTTCCCCTTAAGATATAGGCATACATGAGAAGATTCTAACAAAACAAAACCCCTAACCAATGAAAAAACACACCCTCATCAGTCTTAATTTAAAAAAGATCCACAAAGCTACCGGAAGAAAGTAAAAAGCATCTTTAAGCATGTGGAGAAAGGCATCTCCAGTTCTTAATGAGGACTCCATTATGATTGAGTGTAGCTGGTAACAAAGAGAAACAGCAGGTCAAGGTAGTTAGAGACATGGGCTCTGCCCCACATGAATCAAGCACTGTACAAGTGTTTGCAAAATACAATCGAAATTCAAAAAATAACATCAGTAACTACGTGTCAGTCATTGTGACAGACAGTGTACATGCATTATCTCATTTTGTTTTCACAATATCTCCATGAAGCAGGTTCTGCTAATGTCCTTACAGAGGAGGACAGTTAGGTCTGTTCAAGTTCACAGAGCTACTGGGTGGCACAAATCAGTTTCCCAGGGCTGGCAGAGAGCTCTGTTTTTCCAAAAGACAGCAATGGAACTATATCAAAGGTGAATATTTTGCCTATTATTAAAGGAAACTTAACTAGATGTCAAAGATCACCTATGATTCTCTAATTGAAATAATTCATACTGGTGAGCTGTTCTGTCTTTCCTCTCTCTATGCCTCAGCATCTTCATCTATAAAGGGAGGGAGTGGGATGAACTCACTGGTCCTCAACCCAGGCTGCACATTAGCCTCTCCTGGGGAGTTTTCATAGCTTCATCTACTTGTATGTATGCCAGCTGAATTAGAATCTGTGGGTCCCAGCACTGGTATATTTTTTAAAGCTCAGGTGATTGTAAAGAACCCCAAGGGCTTCCTGCCCCTAAATGTCCTCACTTTGTCATCAGATTTCTCGACATTCCTTTAACTTGATCCATAATAGAGATGAGAGGAGAGGGTTGGATTTACCACACCACATCTGAAGGGCTATTAAACCTACCATGGAGACTCCCTGCTAGGCTGACCAAAAGAATGACAGCTTTTCATGCTTTTAGAACATGCTCCTAAAAAAGGGGGGGAAAAAAAAAGACAGCTTCATTTGCTAAATGTGTCAGTCTACATAGTATCTTTGAGTCCCACTAACTAAGCTCAGGAAAGATGGTCAACCTAATCTCTCCTGTCTGGGTAGTCAGAGAACACTGGTTTGTTTTGTACGTTGGAACCCAAAGGTCAGCTGTTGGGGAGAACCATCAGGCCAGCAGATAGACTGTGTTTATGTAACTTCTTCTGGGCTTGCCACTTCCTCAAGGACAAGGGGCAGTTGTTTTGGGCTTTCTTTGGACAAGATTCCCCTTTAGGAGGGCTCTGGGCCATGGCCCTCCTTTCAGCAAGTACCCATCTGGGCTTCTTTCCAGTGACCTGCCTGTCTAGTGGCTCTGTCAGGACACACATTGGGACAGCTGACACATACACCACAGCTTTTCTTTTTTGCCCAGGCCCCTGGCTGAATTCTACTCTCCAGATCTCCTGACAATGTTGTCACTCTTGCCTTTGTGGGCTTTGACAGCACATCAACTTACAGATGGTATCACATGGTAGTTACCAGAATTCTTATTTCACCTCCTGATTATCCCAGGCACATCACTGATGGTGACATGGTCAAGTTAGGGACAGGATAGTTACTCAAGCCAAACTGATTTGTCTCCCCACCAAATGTGAGGCCCTGACTGCGTGTACAGTGAAGCACGAAGAAAGTCAGTGAAATGCATGAGTAGAGCGTCTGCCAGGTATCAGCTGCCAACTGTCTGCAAAGTCCTAGTCAAGAGTGATCATTTTGGTAGTTACAAGTGATTTTTATCCAGTGAAGTTTCTGGAGTTTACATTTTGAGTAGACTGCTCTGAAATGAATGCTTTAAATGATAAGAGACCATTCCTCATCTTCCCTATCATTCTTACTTGTCTCTACTTGTCCCTGTTTCATGACACATCTATCACATTTTTCATTTCTTCATAGCTGTGTCCTCCTTTGTTTTATTTAATACTAATAGACTCCCTGATATTTTTCCATAAGCTGACTTTTTAAAGCCTCCCAGCAGATGAAAGCTTATGTGTCCAACTGTCCTTGAGAAGCAGTCTCTGCTTATTATAGCATCATCTTTCACTGGTGCTGGAGTAAGTCAGCTGTCAGGGACGGGCGTTCACTCATTTTCTACAGAGATGACACCAACAAGGTGCCCTTGTGGAGCCATGGATGTCACAGCAAGATTGGAGCTCAGAAAAACAACCTAGTACCTATAACACTAAAGATACTTAGGGTAAGCCCTGTCTTGCTCAATTTTGAAGCCCCAGTCTCTATCACTAGATGTGTATTAACCCACAAGAAATATTTGGCAAGTTCAACTGAATGCTGTGATTCTGCACAGTGCTCAATGCACAGGAGATGCACAGTGCATTTTTTGGAACAGTTGAAATGGGGTTTTCAGAGGTGAGGTGACTTCCCCAAAGTGGCAGAGTTACAGTTTACTGTTCTAATATACCACTCCTGGATTCCTTTAATGTTAGAGTCTGTAAACAAGTCAAAATAACACCTGCATTTTGCCAGGGGAATGTTAGAGTTCGTAAACAAGTCTGAATGGTGCCTGGCAAAATGCCAGAGGGAGTGGTCTGAGAAGTAACAAAAGCAAGCCATTAAGTGTGGAGATTTCTTATTGGTTGACTGATGTATCTAGTTTATGCTAATTAAGATAAGCTGTGCAAAATGTATAAATATCTCTGTTGCCCTACAATAAACGGCTCCTACTCCTGCTGTATCAACGCACACAAGTTATTCGTCACCCCCCGGTTATTTTGCCCAGCCAGACGGGCTGTGGCACTTTAATATATGCATCTTTTAAAATGTGTGCAATGTGCAGGCAAATTTGTTTCCTCTGCAATCAATGAAGTAAGGGAAAAACTGCTTCATGTATAGAAGAAACATTAAGTGAAGATAGTAACTATTTCCACAATGTTTTTCATTAAACTTATTTAATAAAAACACTTATTTAATAAAAACTCTAACACCGGAGATTACAGATAAACAAGACACAGAGGTCCTAAGCAACGTCGTGAGACCCTGTCTCAAAATGAAAAATAAAAAAAGGGCTGGAGTCAGACATTTTTACCCTATGTACGTGTATGATTGCACGGCTGGTGTGATTCTGCATTGTATACAGCCAGAGGAATGAGAAGTTGTACTCCATTTGTGTTCAAGATGTCAAAATGCATTCTGCCAGCATGTATAACTAATTAGAACAACAACAACAACACAGGGTGGGGAGGTGGGTGCTGGAGATGTGGCTCAGCAATTGAGTGTCGCTGGGTTCAATCCCTGGTACCAAAAAAAAAAAAAAAAAAAATCCTAAGACTGAAAAGTGAAATTTTCAGATTTTTTTTGAGAGTCATATTTTGTGAAGTATTATTGGACACAACACATGTTTATAGAAATAGCCTCAACATTTATTTATCTCAGTATTCTTCTGCTTGACACTGTGTCCTTAGCCACCTATCAGATGAGAAGAATAACTATGTTCTTCCCTTGCAGGCAGAAGTGACAAGTTATACTTCTACTGTATTCTTTGACCTCACAGTGGAATCAATGAACATGTAAGCAAGAATGGATAAACACCTCTTCTGCCAAAAGAGTTTTCTGTACCTTAAAAATAAAATTTAAGGAAGGAGGCTGAGGCCCCAGGAGAGCTGACTAGCATTATACTCAAGAGGACTAACATTTCACATCATATCTGTTCTTCTCTTCACAGGACACTTGGGGGAAAAAACCAGACTCCAGGATGGGTGAAAGAAGCTAGCATGAGAAATCAACTAGTTCAAACAGCAAGAAAATAAACTTCCACATACTTCTGGGATATTTATGGGGCAGAAAAAAATTTAAGTGGTCTATTTGTGGTCT